ACAGGACGAACTACTGGAGCCTTCAGGCGCTTGACGAGGGAGGAGTTGGAAGAACTTGTTAATGATTTGTGATATCGTTTTTATTTCTGTACTGTTATTGTTCAATGTTATCTTGTTTGAGAAGTTTGAAATAAGGCTTTTAAAGCTGTGATAGACTTCGAATCAATGAAATTTTGTTCGTATGTATGTTTGTTTTATATTCTTCTTTTTTATTTTACAAATTTACATTCGACTTACTGTGTAGGGACGAAAATCCGTTCTGTGTGGAAAGTAGTCGACTGTGATCGGAAAGTCAAAACTCATGTGCCAGGAACCTTTAATAAGTGTTCCAAGTCATTACTGGACGAAGAACAGCTGTAATTTTTGGTAGGATGCCATACCGAAGTTATTGGAAGTGCTGTGGGAGCAATTTGGTGCGTTGAAATGTTTCCTCACAGTCGAATCTTTAAAATTAATAAACTAGGGTGAACTACTACGAGGGAGGAGAGGTCACGTATCGACTGGTCGTCTCTCAAATTTATTTTTTAACTGTAGTGACCGTTGTGGTAATGGTGAGGCGTTTCGCATCTGAGTTGCCTCTTTGCGTAGTAACTCGTGGGTGCGACGAGTCGGGCGGCGTTCCTCTTTGGGTCATTCTGCGTTCAAAATTACGAAGATGTTGTCGTTTCAAGGACGTGTGATCTATTTAGGTATTCCCGCAACAGTAGCTCGAATTCTGGGAGTTACAGTGTACCGAAAAGTTCACTCTTATTGGTTGGTCTGGTATTGGCACTGGTGCCGAGTGCCCACCACATGCTGACTATTAAAAAAGGGTGCAGGTTGGTGCTTCAAACATGCCATCTCAGCCGAAAACCACCGCTCACTTATTTAATGCGATAAGATACAACTTTTCATGAAATGGTCTACTAGCAACTCTGCACCTGCGCTGGTGCATTACAAAGATGTAAAATAAGCCGAGACCAAATAAACAATTGCAACTCAATCTTTTTTAGTTTTCTCCAGGGACCAAATTTTTTTT